TGCAACTTGAACCACATCCCAGTCTGTCTGGGCAAAACAGTCCTGCAGGGTGCCTTCAGTCTCTGGGGTCCAGAGTTTATTTTGTTTGGTGACAGGGTTTGTTTATTTCAGTCTTTGTCTGTAAGCTGGATACAGGAACAAAGAAATGTGGTCTGAGCATCCAAGGTGGGGGCGGGGTGCGGCCCTCTATGCACCATGTATGTTACTGTAAACATGATCCAGAGTGTTTTTGCCCTGAGTGGGAATGTTCACATGTTGGTAATATTTGGGAAATACAGTCCGCAAATTGCACTGCTTAAAGTCGCCTGCAGCGATAAATACAGCATCAGGGTATGCAAGACTGCAACCAGATTTCTCTTGAGACCACTGCCCATACAGTATGCTCCTGCACTTGTGTGTGCAGTGTTTTGCTTGGAAAAAAACAGCCAATAAAAAAAACAAAACAAAAAAACACACATGCTATTCAGTCATTATTTGTTTTAATATATAGTTTAACATTTTTACTGGTTTTAAGCACTGTACACAATAAAGTAGCTTCAAATAATTTTTTTAGAACAAGACCACAAAAATGTCTTGGACTCTTGATAAGACTATGTCTTATTGTACACAAGAATACTGAAGTTTAAAGTTCATCTTAACTGAATGTACTCTCCCAGAGAGCCTCTTTATCATGTACACAATATAACAAAGTAGCACGTTGTAGACTAAATCTCTGCTTCTGGGAAACAGGCTTGGTGGAGGAAAAGGGAAGCAAGCGAGAAAGTGAAAGGCACACAGAAAGTGAAACCTTGCAGCGGTCCTGTTGTCCAGTCTATAAAAGAGAAAGCCCTTGTTGCTGATGCCATCAGAAGTCCAGACTGAAGAAAGACACAGTGTGGTGGGAGCCAGGACCTGTCTACAGCTACAACTATGAATTCACATGCCATCGCCTTTGTCACCTGCTTGCTTGTCCTCTGTGCAGAAGGTACTGTAAAAGACTTGATGTTCTGGGATTAGTTTCAGGTTGGGCTGTAAATGGGGACTCATGTTGCTGCAGTATAGCTATTCTTTGTTGTCAGTCACAAGCAGCACTGCAGTTCAAAGTGGCCAATATTTGCCCACAAAGTGTGCTATTGTAATAGTGACAATGACGGTCAGTGACTACCTCAGTTTTACAGTGTTTGAACTGAAAATGTCGATAGTGCAGCACCAGACAGCAAACAGACAATGTTAGAGAACAGCTGCTGAACACAGTGCAGCATTTAGCGGCTATAATTTGGTAGCATGTTCTGATGAGGCACCGTTTATTAAGGGTTTATAAGCTGTAATTAATGACTTTACTAATGGTTAATTCAGAACACTTGAAAGTTGAGCAGCAGTTAATAAGTGGATGCCTTTTCTCCTCACAGGACAACTAGCCAACAGAGCTAGACAGTGCAAATGCTTGAACGGTTACATTGGCAGGATCAACCCACAGCTCATCAAGGCAAAGCCAGTCATACACCACCCAAGTATCTTCTGTCCAAACACAGAGATTATGTGAGTGACTGAGCTGAATTAAACCAGAGTTAGTGACATGTCATTCTGCTGCATGTTTCAGTCTGTCTGTTCTTCTCTCCTAGTATTACTACAAAAACAAATAAAGAAAAATGTGTGGATCCTGAGTCACTGCTTGGAAAACTCATTCTGAAAACAACAACAGGTAAGATGAGCTGCACTGCACTAACCTCAGGCAACATGACACAGGGTTTATACTGAGTCTACAGTATGAAACACTGCTGTGAATACAGCTTTTTTGCTAATACTGTCCTGTGATGATTCAAGGCTCAGCAAGAAAGCAGCTGTGAGGATGACAACAGCTTCTCCTCAGACTGATACTTGGAGCTCAACAAGAGTCCACGGGACATCCAGGGTGTAGGACTGTGTACTGAAGAGGATCTAGTGTGACTGAAACACTAGCTATTCACCAGCAGTTCCTTTGTCATATAAATACTATAAGTGGGTACAAGTTATCAAAATGTTGTCAGTGGCCAGTCGTCTGTTTTGTCTCTTTACTTATATTCTCTTGTATATATCTTATAATTCTATTTATACGATTGAAATGCCAAAAATAAAACACTTTCTGTTGCCTCTATTTTGTTTCGCCTTATGTGTTAACACAACACAAAGTGAACCTGTGCTATTGTCACCACAACGAAGTCTTGTTCATTTACATTTGACCAACTAAATATATTATAATCACATCTGCAGTCTATTTTATATTGTACATGCCCAGGGTATGTAGACATCTAAGTAATCCACTCATGTGTAATGGTTGAACATGTTCATAAAAAATAATCTATCTGCTTAGTAATACCCAAAATGTGGGCACCTGGCTGCAGTATTGTGTTAGTACTGACATGAGAAAAGTATTTTGTGCCCAATGCATGATATGAAAACAAGCCTTAGCATTCTTCTGGCATCCATTCTTAGCACATTCCTTTTCCTGAGTCATATCATTTGCCCATTTACCCCATTCCGTAATTTTTTCACCAAGGTTTGCAGATGACATATTCAAATTTTCACCTCCAGATTTAATTGCTAAATTGTTTATATCAAAACAAACTACCACTTAATATCAACAACTCAACTTAATTGTTAAAGCTCATCAAAAATCTGACTTGAAAATAGTAAAATGTTTCAGATTTTAGCCACTAAACTCATTACACCATAAACATTGAAAGAAAGGAAAAATGAGCTATTCTTTTGTTTGTACTGAATTTCTATAAGCAGAAAGTGTGTGTAGGCTTTCACAGCATATTTGACTTGACAAAATATCTTCTTATATTAGCCACCTTCTTGTGGCACAACATGGGAGGTGATGAACCCTAACCTTAACCCCAATGTTGGGAAAAAGTCATGTGACCCAAAAACATCTTTCGAAATACAGGCCAAAGAATTGTGCAGGAATTTTGAAGAATGTGGAGATGATAGATTGTTAGACACAGTAGACCTATACAACAAAGTGAAACATACAACCCCAAATTAGAAGAAGTTGGGACGGGATGTAAAATCAAAATTAAAACTGAAAATAATGATTAGTGAATCATTCATGTCCTTTATCACATTGAAAACAATACAGCAGCACATTATTTGATGATACCTCATCAATTTTATTCTTTGTTCAAAACTCAAAAACTCATTTCAATTCTGATGCCTGCAACACATTCCAAAAACAGTTGAGACAGTAAAGCATTTACCATGGTGATATGATCTTTTGGTTGATAAGCCCCTCAAGAAACAAACATCATGTTGGCTATTGCTTTTTCTTTCTACCTATAGTCCTATTTCCAAGCCAGTTCTGAATGTGACTTACTGTATAAACACTGGTACATTTTGGCATCAGATTCACAGTATTGACTTCTGATATAAATAAATGTTCACTCTGTCTTGTCTTTTGTGATGATATTTATGCAACATACTACAAAGACCACAGACAAATGAGATGCAAGGTCCTGATTGGCTACAGTGTTGCACTGGATTGTTTCATATAGAGTAGATCACGTGTTTGAAATGAGTCACACTATTGTTTTTGTGCACAGCGAGGACGGACTGGTACCCAAAACCTTTGTGTTTTGTCTGCACAAGTCATTCCAGAGGGGTGCTGTCCTAGTCTCCTTATTTTTGAATATAGTAGGCCTAGTTTCTACAATGCTTCATAAAATGTTCCTTCTCTCAAAATTGTTAAGATTCAATGAGGTCCTCTAGTTCAAGAAGCTCAAAATCTTATTTGCAATATTAATATTTTCCAAATTTATACTTTTTCAAAATCTTATTTTCAAACTGAGTCACACATTCACTCCTATCAAACCAGACAACAGTCATCCAGTCTTTATCTTCCTAAACATCTCACTAGCAGAGGTCAATTTGGAATTTGATACTTGACTGTTCATTTATCTTTTTTCCCTTTTGTGATAAACAACTAATATAATTTTTTTATATAGCAACATATTTTTACAGTGTAAATTACTTTTATATGATCTAAGGTGACAAAATCAATAAACTTAACCTCAGAAAACAAACACCAACTCACTCTCTATAATGAATTTAGCTATATCCACTTTGCTCTAAACACTTAACACACATGCTCAACATTTTGCATTCCAATTGCCTTTATTCAAAACAGTTATATAAAACAGAGATACACATTGTTAGCAAAAGAATGTGCATTAATACATTCCAGTAATTAAAGCTGATCTTATTAACGTTCACAGCAAGGCATGATTAAGAACGGCTAGATATTTGAAAACACGAGTCAGAAATACTGTCAGTTTGTGATCCAGAAAATCAAGAACATGTTCCTCATCAATGCTCCCTCTGCTTAGCCAAGCTCATGTTGACTTTGGTACACTGACTGATGCTTAAAAAAACCTGACAATACTGTTGCCTCTTTGTGATCCCTGTCATTTTTACTCAATAAAGCTGATAGTTGGTCCTGTATTTCAATTTCTATACATGTCAAATAGCTACAGTTACTACAGTACAACCACACTACAGCTCAAGATCAGTTGCAAAATATTCTGACTTAATCCAAGTCATTTCCTGTAAGTTGCACAGTGTAAAATACTTTTAGTACTTGTACTGCTTGGAATTAAAAGACAAGTGATATCAGTTTTTCCATCCATCCATCATCCATATGGTTTATCCTTAATAGGGTCACAGGAGGCTGGAGCCAATCCCAGCTGACACTGAGCAAGAGGTGGGGTCCACCCTGGACAGGTTGCCAGTCTATCACAGGGCTGACACTTAGAGACAGACAACCACTCACACCTACACTCACTCCTACGGGCAATTTAGAGTCGCCAGTCAACCTAATCTGCATGTCTTTGGACTGTGGGAAGAAGCCGGCGCACTCAGAGAGAACCCATGCAGGCACAGGGAGAACATGCGAACTCCGCACAGAAAGGCAGGACATGAACCTGGAACCTCCTTGCTGTGAGGCGACAGCGTTAAAACCACTGTGTCACCCTGCCACTCAATATCGGTTTTTAAAGGCAGATAAATATTTTAGACTTAGGTTAACAGTTTTAAAGATGATTGAACTTCCCTCCTAAAACACTGCAGCACAGCAAAGAGATTTTAGAGACATCTCATTACGTGCTGACCGGGAAAAGCACAGTTAGTGAGACTTTTTAGCATCCATAATTTCCAAGACACAGAATATGATAAACTACTTTTAATAATTATAATAAATAGAGAACATGTGGATGAGATATTATGGATCAGAGCTAAAAAGAATACAAGCTAAAACAAATGCAGAGATTAAAAAAGGTAACATATTTGTGGAACAGTATAGAGTTCCAGAGGAGGCAAGCTTTTCTTTTTGGTGCAGAGAATATGGACATAAAGAAAAGTGAAATGGATTTGGATCTTATGAGCAAGTAATCTATTTGGAATTACTATTGCATTTTCACTGATGGAATTAAAATGTCACAGAATTCATTGAACCTCTTAATTCTAAAAGCATTTAAGTGGTTTGAATTGACCTTTTTGCTGAAGCCCCAGATTTCACAGGTTAGCAACTGTACTGCGTGTCAGGCTCTGGATTGGTCTACTTCACATATTGAAGCAATGTGTTTGGAGGAATGAATCTTTTTCACCTCTTCCAAAACCAAGAATACCCAAACAGTAAGGAATGGATTTAACAGTGCACTTCTCTGTTGTCAAATGTTATGTTCAGATAACTGCTTGGTATCTAAAGCATTAATCTAGCAGTGGTTCCAGGGCCAAGAGCCGGCATTGTATTAGCTAATTATATTGTTTTGCAGGTATACAGGCTGTGATAAAAGGCCCTGTTCATAACTAGAACATCCACTGTGTAGAGGCTGGTCCTTGAGATTGTGTTAGATTTGTTTAAGACATGAGTTAGCCCTCATCATTAAACCCCTTTCTCTTGAAATGTAAAAAGTTACACACCATTTAAAAATACAACCCAATCCAACTGTAACAAAGGTTAAATATGGTTTGTACACAGTTCAGCAGCTGGTGAGGATGCTGATGTTTTGTCTAGGACCTGTTAGCTTTAGCTTTAGTCTTTTAGCACTACATCATGTAAGTAGCCATCAAGTACATATTTAAGACCCTTTTGACAAGGGTCGAATTTTTGAACAAGATACAGTAGCTGGAGATGGCACTTTCTACTAACTCAAGGAGGCAACATTAGCTTAATTTGCCATTTTTCTACAGCTGATAAAACTTGCCAGGGACAGTTGGCTTTTCAGTTGACAACAGTTGCCTGTTAACAAGCTACTGCTTTTCTCTCTCTGAAATCAACAGGGCATCATTTCAAAAATTACCATAATCTCTTGTTGAGTTGCTTATAAAATTCAAGTTATTTCTTTGCCTCACCAAAAGAAACACCAAGGCTTTCATTTCATAATAACATCTGTTTCAGCAGAAAATCATGTTTTTCCAGTAGATTCAAATTTCAAGATTAAATGTTTGAAATTATTATTTGTATTTCTTTTAAAACAAGTTTTAATGGAAAATATTTGAGACTTCCCCCAAGGCCACAGAATCAATACCAAGAGAATCCATACTCACATGGTGCTTATCTTAAATTAATGTTTGATGAAATGATTGCAAACCTGGGCCAGGCAGTATTCTTAATTACAGAGTTCCATTGTAGAAATGTTAGCCGTTTTCTTTTTCAACATCTCACTCTAGCATGTTAATCTGGCCTTCATACTTCAAACCTTTTCAAATCATCCGGTCTAAATACAGCTCTTTTACTGCAAAACAGTGACACTACATGGCCTCACTGTGTTCTTGTGTTTTGTTAGTATCAGATGAACTCTGTCAGTCTGCAAGATGTCAGTCAGCACCTGGAGACAAAAAAAAGGTTAAGAAATGCTGAGTCAGGCAGTAGCTTGGCAAAGTGGTCTCTGGGAAGTAGCTTTCCTTTCTTACTGCTGTGGTACACTTTGGAAAGTGGAGTCCTGAGTAGCTTGTGCAGTTCCTGAGGTGGAGTCTTGAGAGAGCAGTTCCTCTGGTGGACGCAGGAACACCACCATCACTGTGATGTTATCACTGGAACCGGCTGCCTTAGCGTGACTCACCAACTGTTGAGCGACTCTCAGTCCAACAGCCTCCACAGACTGTTTCAGCAAAGTTCCTCCTTCAAGGTCACCAGGCTGCTGAAGTGCATCCAAGACAAGATGCGGGACCTCTGAAGGTTTGACTGCATCAAAGAAGCCGTCACATGCCAGAAGCACGTAGTCCTCATCCCCAAACAGCTGGGTTGTTGAGCAGTCGGCATCTCCAGACACATAGGGCTTCTGGTCAAAGTCACCTGCAGAAGATGTGTGGTTGTGTGATTAGCAGCTGTAGACTGACTAAGCCCAGGCCTGAAGGCTTTTTCATTAAACCAATTGTTCAGTTTAGAAAGAAGAGCAAAGAAGATTGTCACACTGGTATTTATTGATTCACATGTATTTATCTAGCTACTTTGAAATCCTAAACTTTGGGCACGGGGCTCAGACTAACATTTCATACCGGTGGCACTGGTACCACCAAATCGCTCAGGTGGCTGCACCACTGCCAGATTTGGTGGCACCACCTCTGCTTTACAATGTAATGCAAAAGAATCTGTATTTTTTGCTAATTATTTTAAATAACCATCCAATGAAATTCAGAGACCAGGAGACTTATAGAAACAAATGGAAAAAAATTGCTTTGGGAACAAGTTCCCACTTCTTTTTATGTAGTAACTGTAGTGCTCTATAGCCTAGCAGTCAACATGATGATAATGATGATGACCAGTGGTCCAAAATACTTAAGTACATTTACTCAAGTACTGTACTTAAGTACAATTTTGAGATACCTGTACTTTAGTTGAGTATTTTCATTTTGTGCTGCTTCATACTTCAACTAAACTACAACTAGAGGCAAATATTGTAGTGACATGTCATTCTGGCAAAATATATTAGAGGCAAAATATTTTTACTCAAATACATTTATTTTAAAACTTTAGTTACTATATCCCCAAATCAAAAAAGTTGGGATGGTATGTAAAATCAAAATTAAAACTGAAAATAGTGATTTGTAAGTCATCTGTGTCCTGTATTACACTGAAAACAATACAGCAGCACATTATTTGATGTGACACCTCATCAATTTTATTCTTTGTTCAAAATAAACACTCACTTCAATTTTGATGCTTGTAACACATTCTGAAAAAGTAGGGATGGCTGCATTTCATGGCCTTTAATGAGGTAAAAATGATGATTCCATGTGAAACAGGTGATGTCAACAGGCAACAAAGTGGCATCCAGGAAAGGCCGAGCCCTTTAGGAGCAAAGATGGGCCGAGGACCACCAGTTTGACAACATATGTGTGAGAAAATTATTGAATTATTGTTTAAAAACAATGTTCCTCAAAGAAAGATAGGAAGGGATTCAGATACGTCACCCTTTACAGTGTATAGCATAATTAAAAGATTCAAGGAATCTGGAGAAATTTCATTGCGTAAAGGTCAAGGGCGCAGGTCTAAGCTGAATGACCATGCTTGCTCATCCCTCAGATGCCAATGCATCAAGAATCGTCTCTCTTCTATATGCGATATAACCAGATCAGGATTACTTTGGCACACCTGTGCCAAGCCCTACAATGCGCAGATAAATTCATAAATGCTGCTTAAAACTGTACTGTGCCAAAAGGAAGCCCTATGACAACAGTGTCCAGAAGTGCATCTGACTGCTCTGGGCTTAGAGGCACCGATGATCTTGCTGGCTGTATTTACTATGTGTTGCAGGGTCCTTCTGCAGGAGGCAGTACAGCCTCTGTACCACTCAGTGATGCAGCCAGTGATGACTCTCTCAATGGTGCCTCGGTAGAAGGAGCACATGATGGGAGGTGGGACACTGGCTCTCCTCAGTTTGCAAAGGAAGTGGAGGCGTGTTTGAGCTTTCTTGGTCAGTGATGTGGTGTTGTTGGTCCAGGAGAGGTCGTCAGAGATGTCCACCCCCAGGAACTTGGTGCTGCTCACTCTCTCCACTACAGCACCGCCGATGGTCAGTGGTGGATGCTTTAGAGGTTTTCTCCTGAAGTCAACAATCTCTTTAGTCTTCCCCACATTGAGGAAGATGTTGTCCTTACACCACTGGACCAGTTGGCACACCTCACTCCTGTAGTTGGCCTCATCATTGTTGGTAATGAGGCCAACTACAGTCATGTCATCCGCACTTCCCTAACTGGACAATGTGGTTGGTGCTATAGGTTGTGTAGTGGTCAACAACAAACAAGGTACCAGTACAGATGTAATATGTAATAGAATAGTGTAGTGTATAGTTCATATAGAAATATTATTTGTAGTAGTCATGTAAGGGTGAGCTAAGTGTTTATGTAAGATTGATCTGCTTCTCTTGTCTTCTCTTGCTCAAGCAAGAATATCTTTGATTGTGTCCTCCTTGTTTAATTTATGGGTAAACATTCAGAGAGAATTCCTCCTTAAATGGGAAAAGGACATAGCCTCAGACTTATGTGAAATGTTCGTGTGCTCTGTTCATGTTTAGAAAAAGGAAATGCGTGCTAGGTCAACGCAACCTAGAAATTCATGTACTGGACATCTCAGACAATTCTGAGACAGAAGACAATGATTTATAAAAAACTATTTTCAGTTTTATTTTTGATTTTACATACCGTCCCAACATTTTCTGATTTGGGGTTGTAGTTACTTTTCAGAACCAGGTAATAAAACACAGCATAAGACTCTGATTTTCAGTGGAAAATTAACAAGGAACCCATCAGTAACTCAAATTATATGTATATCAGCTGCAACATTAAATGTGATGTACACAATAATGTTTTAGTAATTACAATTGAATAATATGTTATATAATATGTGAAATGTGTAATAAGAACTTTTACTTTTAGTACTTTAAGTATGTTTGATACTAATACTTTTGTACTTTTACTTAAGTAATTTTTGAAGGCAGGACATCAATTGTAACAATATTTTTACACTGTGGTATTGCTACTTAAGTAAAGGATCTGAGTACTTCTTCCACCACTCGTGACAACAATGATGATGATTAGGCTTTTATATATTTCAATTAAAGTATAACCAATGAATAGCATGCATGCTTTGCTGTTTGTTATTTAACCTATTTGTGGTCTGTTTTCCCTCTGAAAAAGATTTTCTGCTCTTTGGTGATGTCCGTGTTGGACTTCATGCACAATTCAGCTCTCTTACTCGCCTAGCTAGTGCCAGCTCATTTTTTTTTCAATGTTATTAGTAGCCTACTACTTAAAGAAGGACTTGATGATGGTGGGTTTCAGTCAATACTAACTTCAAACAGGGACTTCACTAAATGTGAGCAGCACAATATGCATATTGCCAACTGTTTGATCCATTCAATCCATACTGACTCCAATTTCATGCAGCGTTTCTCATGAGAACAGCTAAATTTTATACTCAAAGTGTAAAAAAAGGATCCAGGGTTGTTACGCCTGTCCACCATTTCTACAATGAGAGCAGTTGGTCATGCATAATTTGTTTTTTGTTTATTTTGTAGTGCAGTTGCACCCAGTGCAACCTTTGAAAAAAAGTCAGTCGCACCTTAAATAAATTTGGTTACCCTATGGCAGTATGAGTAAAAGACATCTATCTCCCACACAATTCTTTCTACTATACATTGATGTAAACCTACTGAAATTAAAGCTGAGAGTTGGTACTTTTACTTTCCATTATAGTAACTGGACTTGTGCTTTTCTATGCACTGAAGTGCACTCAAAGTGCCTCTGCACTATTTGCTCATTCACCCATTTACACACATAAGCATTCACACATTCACCAGAGCTGGACCCAATTATTTGACTATTTGGATATTCATTCATTGGGCAGGCACTGGATTTCAATTTTAGTATTTGAATATTTCAGACAATATCTGTAGCATCTTTTTGGTGTTGCACTTTCTAGACAGACCCTGCTCACTTGTCTTGTTTATTGTGTATGGTTATGTCTGAATGAAGCCCTGAGGAACATAACGTAAAAGTGCGTATCTGAATGACAGAAAGCAATGTTACGTATCTCATGTCTGAAAGGGCTATACTGTAGAATTTGTTGCAGCACAATCTCAGCAGAGAACAGAGATGTAATAGTTCAACTGCCCAGCAGTTTCAGCACTTCAGACATGTATATCATGACCTAGATGAAAAAGAATCTCCACAGACATTCTTAGATAATGTTGGTTGACTTACCTATAGCTCTGGATACAGCATAAGTGCCATTAACACGCCAACAACCCATGAAGGTGATGCAACCACCAAGATCCTCAATTCTCTGCTTCTCATCCTGGACAATGGAGGACAAGGAGACAGACCTTACTATCTGATGACTTACCTACCATTTTGTCTGAAGATCTGCAATAATTAATTGTAACTTGCATATTTGTATGTTGGGTGACTTTAATTCCCTATGTATCATGTTACTGTCATGACTAATTATCTATTAATCTGCAGATTATTTTATGAATGAATGCTTTTTGTCATTATACATAAGTACAACGAAATTGCATGTGCCACATCTGATCAGTGCAAAAATAAAAAAACAAACTGTCCATTCTCACGACCACCATGTCCACATCCATACAACCAAACCACAAGCTGTTTTTAAGTCTGTTAGTCCTGCTTTTCAGGCTCTTGTATCTGCTCCCAGAGGGCAAGAGGGCAAACAACTCATGTCCAGGGTGTGTGTGTTGTCCTTCAGGATGTTCCTGGCTCTGCTAGGACATCTTGAGCTGGCAATGTCCTCCAGGGAAGGCTTCCAATGATTCCCTCAGCAGTTCTTATAATCTTCCTGTCTATAGTAGAGCAACCAGCATACCACACCATGACACAATACATCAAAATGCTCTCAGTGGCAGAGCGGTAAAACGTCTCCAGCAGATTTTTCTGCAGATTGGTCTTGTGGAGCAACCTCAAAAAGTGTAGTTTCTGATGGGACTTTTTAACCACTACTGTGGTATTTTCTGTCCAGGAGAGGTTTTCAGTTGTTTAAAAAATAACCCTAACAAATTGAAGAGCTAAAGGTGACATCATCAAATGTCTCATTTTGTCCAACCAGTGGTTCAAAAACCAAAGATACTGTACTATGACATAAAAAAGTACATATTAAATCTTCCCATTTGAGAAGATATAAGCAACCTTTCTTGGAAAAAAAACATAATTAATCGATTATCTACACTGTTTGTTCATTTTTCTGTACACATATTACTTGACAAATCATCCGAATAGCTTATCATATCCATGTGGAATAGCTGGCCTTAGATCAGAAAAGGAAGTGGCACATTCAAGAAACCATTCAGATTCCTCTTCAGAATTTTCTGGTAGTTGTGTTTTAATGAGAGCTTACAGACACACAGCTTTTCATTCAGACACAAAAGCCAAAGGTGTGAGGTAATGATAGAGCTAAAATAGGAGGGGTAGGAAACAGATCCTACAGTGCAACTTGATTAGAGAATTGTTACACTGGGGTTCAAAACATTTCATCAGTATCAAAGAATGATATGCTTATTGCCATATTTGTGTTTTTTAGCTGTGAGATAGTTCATCTGTGCACTCTGTTAGGGTGATTTTTATTTTATGCACTTAAGAATAGTTTTATTTTATAGCACACATAAGTTTACATACGTATATGTCACAGATATGCTTATATAGTTATGAATATCACTCTATGAGTTCACTTAACCACTGGTCAAATATTTGCTGTGTGAGTTACTGAAACACTAATGCAACATCATGAGTCTGGTGCACTGAGTGGTTTTCCAAGGACTAATCATCCCACAGGTTTTCATTAGATTTGTTGCCTTTTCCTAAAAGAGCCCATTATTCCCTCTGCTCCTTGAAGCCAGGGGAGTTGAGGTTTGATAAGATACTAAGAAGCGTTGTGGGCTGTGCAAAGTGTCTGTTTCAGGACAAGGTCGCGCCAGTGACGAGATCGGACCAGAATGGGGGACCAATGACGGGAGAGTTAAGTCTAAACCACAGCTTCTCCCCAACAGTTTTGGACCAATCAGATAGTAGCACCTTTTCATACAAATAATGTATACCAACCAGTTGAGGACAGTCTTTTCTCTTTATCCTAAACAGTGGAGATCCATGTGCACATGCTAATTTTGATATGTTAATGCCTAATAAATTTCACATTGAGAAATATATATCCTCTTATTAGTCTTCTCTTTTCAATATAAAACGAACAAGCACCACAACTCCAATGTCATAGAGCAGCTTCACCGAAAGAACAGACTTTCTAACATTTGCTGGGCCTTTAGCTCACTGACAATGCAAAGTGAACTCCACAGAAGCAGGATTTGAATTATTTTGATTCAAACTTTTGTTTGGTCTGGAAAATCTGAACACCTTTTTATCCAGAAAACATTATCACATGCAGAAAAACAAATGTTTGGAAGTAGGGCAACATTCTCAGTTCATCTAATTCAGCAGTTTGTCTATGGAGCCCCGACTGATGCTGAATCTCTAGAAGGAAAACATGTTGCATACTGCACACTTGAGACAGACTTACATAGCTACAGTACATCTGTTGGCTCGATGTTGTGGTATACCTATCTGATGTGATACTGTAAATGTATCAAACATGCTGGAAGATGCATTCTGCTAGTTTGAAGAAACCTTGCGTATATTCCCTGATCTTCCCTGTGTGGAAAACAAAATACCTATAAATTGCTACCAGCAGAGAGCGCTTTTTGTGTGTGTGTGTGTGTGTGTGTTGGTGTGATAACTCTACCTCTCTCTCTGGTTTATGGGGGTCCATGAGTGTTAGAACTTCTTCCTTTCTGACCAGTATTGCTTGAGAGTCTCCCAGCCAGGCTACAGTTAGCACATGACCCTGGATTAGCACCGCCACACCTGTGGATCCACTCCGCAGATGCTGACGACACAAATACACACACAAAATGTTTATGGAATATGACAGGTGGATACAATAATAAATGTAATAAGTACAATTTAATAATAGATTTTAAAATTCAATTAATAAATCAGAGACAAAATAAGGACAAAAAATATTAAAGTTGGGGTAAAGTGAAAATAAATGTGGTTCGAGTTTGTCACACCACATGAAGACAAATCTGAATGATTAAAAAGATCGCAAACTATATATATAAAATGTACTTTCAAAACCATGAAAAAAATGAGTCTTCTCTGCTCTAAAATGCTGGGGGTGTGTCAGGTGAAGACACTGAAACTATCCCCAATAGTGGAAAGGTGCTACCTGTTGTTATTATGAATGTATTAAGGAAGAACATGTAGTAAAGATATATTTGCAGGGTGAAGGGATAGCTAGCTAGCTAGGAAACTGTAGGCTGTAACAGATGTAGTAATTCATGATCAAATGGAATACTGGTGCCAATGCAATAGGGAGCTACAGGAGCATTTTATGAAAGACCACTGAGTGAGAATAGAAATATGGTTTTGGTGTTTATGGAGCCACTTTTCTTTTGTGTTGATGTTTGAACGAGAGTGGGCAATGCTCCGCTCCCACACACACAAGGAGCAGACAGTTGCTGTCGCAGCAGTGGAGACAGGGAGCCCAGGAGAAGTGAAACTATACTTATACTTTTTCACCACTTTGCATTTGTGATGCCCTGATGGTGGCTCAGTGTCAATAGCGCAGTGTTTTGAACCCTGCATGAGGCTCATTAATTCCATCCAGGTTTTGCAAAGCCTACTATACAGTCCACAAACAGTATGGGGCTCTGAACTGTCAGACCATACTGTATTTCTGTCATACAGGTACTGCTAATAATCTGTTACACAAGGTTTCATGTCTCCAGTCTAAGACCTACTATATTAAAGATCCCATTTGATGCTTTTGTTTTTTTGACTTCTCTGTAGATAAGTTACAATGGTGAGTTATCATCTTGGACGTGACCTAAAGCTCAGAAAATGAGGTACAGTACATGTATGTTCTAGTACTTCTATGCAAAAGCAACGTGGTTTATACGTCTCGCAAACTCCAGCTCATGAAACCTTTTTTCCTAATTAAATAAAGTATTATGTGATAGTTTAAGGATTTCCTTGAATGTTCATAACCACAAGGCAGTTGCTTGTTCACGTGAGCTTACCTGACATCCACTGGTTCCTCCACCATATTGCAAAATGTCATATTGCCTTGTTTATTTTGTTTATTTTCAATAAAGCTTATAAAAAATAAAAAAAGACATCTACAGTGCCATTATAAAAGTGGAATTTTTCAGCTGTGCTCAGTTTGGTGGATACATTTTACCTCCTGGTGCCTGCACTGCGATCAGAGGATGTGGAGAAATATACAGGGCCTGAGGTTACTGCATGTTCAGGAATGTTCATGTACAGGGACTCGTGCTTTTACTTGACTGGGTCTAACCTATGATCAGCCAGCCAGTGAAGCCCCCCTGCGGTGGTGAATGAGCAGCTCATCAACACTTAAACTATCACATAATACTTTATTCTGTATAAATACATAAGAAAAGGCATGCCATGGACTCTTTAACTTGAAGTCACTTTTAAGTTTTTCTAGCTCTTAACCAAGATCTATATGAATCGACACAGAACCATAATAAAACTGTTCAGAGCAACTCTGGGCAAGGAAGACACAAAACCCTTTATCTTAGTGAGGAGATTCAGTATGAAAGCTCATCTACCAGCATATACTGTGCATCCTACCTGAACTTTTCAGGGTTCTATCTTCATTATAGGCCAAATAATGGCAGAACATTTGCATTAAATAGGGTTTTCAGTGTTAATTTTAAATAGCCATCAGATGTGGATGTTGCCACCCTACATTAGTCTTTTAAATTTCAAATGACAGATAAGATTTTAAAAAATGTTGCCTCATGTTAAACGGAAGGGCTTTTGTGATTTTTGTTATTTTTTTGTGTGACCTTGACATTTGACTGTTTTCAGCCAAAATCTAATCACTTCTAGTGTTAGTCTCTACCAATTATGTTGATGACCTATCCAGCCATTTGTCTGTAATGCTGCTAACCAAAAACATAAACTTCTTGGAGGAGGTAAATATCATTATTAAATCTCCAATACCATGAAGTAGGGCCAGTCATTACAGACAGGGAGAGAGGGAGACCCAAACATCAATATGCCATCCACATAACGCAAATAATTCAGCGCAACTAGTGTCAACAATAATAAAGCAGCCTAAGCATGATGCAATATGTGGGCATTTTGCAGGTCAATATACAAATAAAGCACCAACGATGTTTGCATAATAACTGACAATGACACGGGTTCCACCTACCCAGCTGCCCCCCCCCAATATCTGCTCCTACCAAGATCTGCCTTTGCTGCATGAAGTTATAGATGTGAATGCCTACTCTAACTGCATTTACTTTACTATAATATGTCTGCCATTTGCTGTGATTAAATTACTATTAGTCCGAAACTCCTTTAAATACTGTGTCCAAGATGCAGTTCAGTTTTTAATACAGTTAATTATAATTAGACAGGGAGAGAGGGAGACCCAAACATCAATATGCCATCCACATAACGCAAATAATTCAGCGCAACTAGTGTCAACAATAATAAAGCAGCCTAAGCATGATGCAATATGTGGGCATTTTGCAGGTCAATATACAAATAAAGCACCAACGATGTTTGCATAATAACTGACAATGACACGGGTTCCACCAACCCAGCTGCCATTTAAACATGGATTAAACCCCCCCAATCTCTGGCAGCTGCTGTGCTATTTTTGTCCCTGCTCTGCATCTCTAATTTAACTTTCAGACAGGCAGTAATTTGCAGGCTATTTCATGTCTAGGTGTCGTGTCTGAACAAAGCGCCGGAGTGGCAAAGCCAGCAATCTTCTGAAAATTATGTGTATACTAAACCTGAACTGCAAATACACTGATACACATCAGCAAAATGTTCACAGTCAACGTTTTCTCTGCCAAAATATCTGGGCCCGTATTCAACAAAGCTTCCTAAACCCAAAGAGTCACTCCAAATGATGAAATTCTAAGAATTGTGATATTTTCTACAATTCTCCCCTTTAATTTAATATTATATCTTTGTACAGATGAAAGGTTTGTGGCTGATCTCATTAAGGTGTGCTCTCATCTCCCACCTAGTGCAATAATGCCAGAAATGAAAGCGATCACAAAATTAACATAATTTGGCAACTGGCATGTCTGTTGCAGCCTCCCATCAGCAGAGTGATCACAAACTGCTGCAGTCCATTCACATCTCATAGTGCCACACGCTACATTTCATTTTCCACTGTAGTTCGCACCTTGCACATTCATGGACACAGCCTACACATCATCGCATAATCAGCAAATGAAGACATTTGTGAGCAATCTTTCCCGTTAATATCAAATAGATTAAGTGAATAAGTATTGAAATTAGCTCCCAGGATGTTAAATACACCTAAGCAATTAAATATATCAACTATCTGCAGAATAACAGTGCTGCCTCACACTGAGCTCCAACTTGAGACACGCAGTTGTCTGAAATGTTGCTACAAGACTACATCCTTATATTCAGTAGCAGTCACTTTTTATTTGTAATTTCATTGAGTCTTTCATTTGTTTTTCTGATGAGGGGTTAAAATAATGGCTAGGACCAAGGGCTCCATGCTACAAGGCAGTAACACCATACCGACACCATGACTTATGTGTCATTTCTCAGTGGCTGGCACCGCCCCCACGTAATCAAGAAGCCCAGCAGTGGATCAACCAGAATGAGAATCAGCGTTATTGGCTGTTTAAACGCAAGGAACTTCGGTACAGACGCTCTCGATGTACTTTGTAAGGCAACAATAAAATATAAAATATAAAATAAAAATGAGAATGTGTGCGTTCAAAATATGAAAATTGTGCAATCAAATAGGAAAGAAAATAGGAGGAAAAAAATCCATTTATAAATATACACTATATACACACTGTGGTAGAAAAGTTCTCATACTGAATCTCCTCATCCTTTATCCCCGCACTAAGTTAAAGGGTTCTGCTCAGCATGTTGGGCCAGCTCTGCTTCTGTACCTCTCTCTTGGCTTTGTTTCTGAACATGTCATCTATGTGTTTGAAGGCAGTTTTAAAGGCTGTGGCAGTATCACTCTGCAGTGTTTCCTGTTTACTCAGAGTGACATGGAGGTGAGTGGCAGCGTAGGTGGCAGCATCCACCCCTCCATGGCCATCAAACACAGCATAGTAGGCACGCTCCACTCCGTCCTGGACCATAGTAGAAAGAGAAAAAGAAAGATGTCAAATATGTGTTTGATGTATTTTACTATTTATGAAGTTGTTTGACTTTAAGTTTTCTGAGCTTTTTGAAATTAGGAATAACAAGAAAACCAGTGACCACCAGTGCTGCAGTGAACGTTTGGTACCTGAATTGCAAATAGCTGGTTGAACTCAGCTAAGGCCAAGTGTCTGTCCTCCATCTTCCTCCTTGTGTTCTTGATGGCATGAACAGAGCAGAGGTGAACCCGTGACAAGGAGGGTAAGGGGTTGGGGCTGTTCTGATGCCATGCTAGTGCTACGTCTATCAGCTTGTTGAGGAAGATGCGTTGGACTGCCTCTGACTCAAGTACTGATGGTAAAATAACAGAAATTGACAAGAAATAAATCAGCCTTGATCTTTTTAGTATTGATATACACAGTACAACACATGACAGGGAATGAAAATGAAGAAAACCCAACTGTTCATAACAGACTTTTCACTGTTTTAGGCTTAGGCTGTCTGTGGAATTGCAAAATGGACCAAATTATTATGTATAATGTGAAAGTGAATGTGAATATGAAGAATGTAGGTGAACTAGTAACTACACTACCAGAGCTAACGTAGGCTAATCTCCTCCTCCCAGTCAAACAAACTCCACCTCACATATTATGGGTCCAGCAGGAAAACAAAAGGTAAGTAACATCATAATGAACTAACCAGTTACGATAATAAAAAAAACAAACTAATCAAAACAAAGCAACCTAGCAATGTACTAGTATGTTTTGCCTAATGCCTATAATCAGGCTGCGCTCTTGTTTTCCTGTCTCATCAGCACAAGCAGGCGGTGCACCAAGGAACACCATCTATTTGATGCTTGACTGCCAACAAACAAAAACATTCAAAAATATTTGTACAAAATAAACATTTGTAAAAATCCACTATTTCTGCTTTGCTGAATACTACATTCAGCTTCAGCCCTACTGTTCACTACAGTAAACAGTAGACAGCTGTGGAGCATTTAGCAGCTAAAGAGACAGATATTTTTCTCTCAGCAGTTAACGGAGTCCAAAACAGAGCTATAAAAATATTAGACTTGGATTCATCAGGTGGCCACAAACATGACTCCAGATGAATGAAAATGTGGCTCTGTGTCTGCTGGATGTGTAAATGTGTCTGATTATAAGTTGCCCATATGACTTTTTAAGGTGAAGATATGTTCACAGTTTGTTACACTGCTCACTAACCCCATGTGGCAGTGGAGATTTACTGCTTACATTCTGTCCTAACAAGAAACCTTCCATTTATATCAATAAGGGTAAAATAATATTAGAAACACTTCTCAGTGTAACACAATACCATTTAACAGCACGACAAACTGCAGCATCCAGAATGACTATACAGTGACTGACTTACAGGTTACTTTCTGTAACTCTTCCTGGTTGGCCTCAGCTTCCTGGGGGCAGTGGCAAGGTGAAAGGTCATTCTGCAGCAGCTGTGACATTGCTGCCTGGCACATGTGGGCACTGAGGACTGCAGGAGCACCCCTGAATCAACAGACACAGGCAAAAATATATGCTTGTGGACTTTGTCAACATTTGCACAGGATTTAGTTTTCTCACCAGACAAGTGTATACAAGCCAGAACAGACAGATCCACTTCAGTAGTGAAACAATAGAATTATATTTCTGTTGCACATAAGCATCAACTCACAAAACAGGAAGTGGGGGGAACAATGGTGTTTTGTACAGAATTTGAGGTTGTCCTGACAGGGTATACTTCTGAAGAGAAGAGCACACAAACCACACACATTTTCACTTTTCTATGTTCCTACTCCAGTTTTAGCTGAGCTTGAAAGGCTCATTCATAGCTACTGTACCTCAGCGGAGAATATGCACAGAATTGCTGAATTAATAAAACCACAAAGGCTGAGATATCAGGACATTCCAGACATTAATCAAACACTATGACTAAAAATTTTTTTTAATCCCTACTGCTTTATAATGGCTTCCACCACAGCTCGCGTGTATAGCATATTCATTAACATCTCTTAAACATGCACCTTGTTATATTATTCTCATAGCAATTTTACATGAGTCTTGTATCAGAATAAGTGTGAGTCACATTACACAAATGTCACAATGGCAATGTGATTAGGTCAGTAATATTTCTTAACACTTTCAATGCACAACAAGTCTTTACCAAGACTGAAGGATTCATGCAAAGACTCCGCCACAGTACAGACACATAACTGCTTATCTTACTGCAAGGAGCGTTTAGATGTTTTGTCCCCTCACTGTGAGAGGTGAAACAGGTGCATGTTTAAGAGATGTTAACAGCAACAACAACAAGAATAATCAGCTCAGCCCTCTCTCCTAGTAGTAGTAGTAGTGGAAAACATGGGGGGTGTTCTGTTATTACAGCTCAAGTCCTCTTCAGCTTTCCTCTTTGGCACTTAGTGGTTTTATTTTTACAGTGTGTCAACAAATATGATTCTGTCCCTCCCTGCAGTGTGAAGTTGTACAGCAGAGCCAGCCATGCATACTGAGTTAGCAGGACAAGAGCAGAGCTGTGAGGAATGACAGGAATGTAGCCACACATTCACAAGAACACACAAAGAAGATGGGCAAACAGTGCAAACAGCTCCAAGGACTCCCGCATTAACTACACAGACACTACAGCTTTGTCTGTGATATAGTACTACTTCTGCTATGATACTAAAATACTAAGAACATTTACTGATTGTGCAGCAATTTACTCAGTGCATTAATAATTACTTGGCTGTGAGGGAGGTCCTGGTGCATTAATAATTACTTGGCTGTGAGGAGGGAGGTCCTATTTAGATATGGTCTATTGGTTTTATCCATCCGTTATTCAGACAGACAGTAGCTGTCTGTGGTATGTTCGTTGCTAGTTTATTCACACAGAAAAGGACAGTTTCAGAAGGAGCTACAATGCTCATGCAATATCTGTCATTGGAAAAGAATATGAAGGAAAAAGAGTTGTCAGTCCACTCACAAGCTAAAGGCTCACAAAGTGTGAGACAACAATTAAGTTCTAAAACATAACGACAATGACAATCTGATGTTATGAATCCATATAATATTATATTATTAACATTGTGAAATTCTTTACTAGAAATTATTTAACATATTTATTACAGTGACCTTTCTGAAGTGGAAAAAGAGCATTTAGAGTATCGGGTATTCAGTCCACTGTGTATTTAGTCTTGTGCTGCTGTGGCTCTTGTCTTCTTCAAGTCTACCAAATATGTAAAATCTAATGCCGTGTACGTCTCCCTCCCACCATACCTGGCAGCCAGCAACCTGAGGCCCAGCTCCAGGCTCTCTCCATGCAGCTCCTCCAGAGACACTTTGCGGCTGAGAGGACTGACAGGCAATGGACTGCCTTCCTCCAGAGGAGCTGGGAACTCGTCCACAAACCTCCCCAGGAAGTTCCTGATCTCCTCCTCCATCCTGCTGACTCTGGCTGCAGGAAGCTCTCGGGTGAACAGGGGGGGTCAGGACTCACAGATCGCAAGTGGAGACTTGAAGGACAGAGAAAGTAGGTTTCAAATTGCATATTGACACTCTCTGAAATAAAATGAATGCAGATGGAATTCACAAATGGAAATCTGAATTCCCAGTGTGAGAGAGACTCCCAAATAAAACAATACAATTAAATTATTATTACACCCAGCCTTTAATAAAGGCCTGGCCAACATTGTTTGTAACAGAGTAAAGATAGGTCTCAAAAGTTGTCTTTGAATGCACAGGTAATCTTGTCTATTCCTTATCTGATCCTATGCTGATTTATACAGCTGCTGACCTCAAACCACATTTAAAGGAAAATTTTAACATTTAGAAAATGTTAAAAGTAGCAGCCTTGTGTTAATACTACGAACAAGCGATGACCGGAACGACGTGGGAAGGGTCCTACAAGTGCTAAGAGTTACAAGAACTGGTCAGCAGCTAAACTCACAAGGGAGTGTAGCGTCGACATGTGTGCGAGTTCTCAGCCACAACATGCTACAATGTTCACGGCAGCCAGGTCAACATTACCGTTACACTGTCATGTGCGCAGTCAACATACAATTAGCGTCACTGCTGGCGGGAGTTCTCAAGAAAATACTATTTTCCTCAACAATAAGTCCGTTTCTTCATTCCCCGGGATAGAACAGTAAGTTAGAACAGCGCTTTTCGTGGCACGCCTAGATAAACCTAGAGAAACGCCCTTTGGCAAGACAAAGAGTAAAAGAGACAACTCAGACTGAGAAAGTTCACACACGCACACGCGCACACACACACAGACCTGTGCTGGGAGACCGAACGATGGAAAAATGCCTGAGGGCAAAATGTATCACAGAGTAAATTGTACTATGAATAATATGAAGAGCTCTGCAGTTTGTCAACAGCCTTTAGACCACTTTGCTGCACGTCATCACACTTCCGCCTTCCTTCCACTGTAGATTTAAAGAACCAATACTCAATTACAAATAATTATCACGCCATGAACAAATGTAAAAGCGACAAGAACATATCACAATTTATGTTTATAGTATGTGTATAATAGCTTGTCTTTATAATAGGCTATTACTAAATATTTGGTTTCTATACATAACAATTAGACCAGGGCTTCCCAATACGTCGATCGCAAAGGTAGTGTCGGTAGATCTCGTGTCAATATAATGAGCTTAGTTAATGCTTTCAAACGAAAAATGCAACATTTTGCGGAACTTCCAAAACCTCGTATCAGAGCTGGAGACGCAACGGAAAGCATGTGCGCAACTTGATAGTGCGCGCCACACAAAGCCGATTGACAGTTGTCGATCAGAGTTTGACAAATGCTTTCAAGACTTTGCCTCACTCGAGCCAGTCTATGTGCTACCCATTTAGGGAAGATATTGAGGTTGATTCACTCGATTCAAAAATTGCAACGCTGTTTCACCTGAACTGGTCTGGAGTGGAGGATGAGATATTGACACTACAGACTGACATTCAGCTAAAGTCCAGGGCTAATAGACAGTTCTGGAACTTACAGAGGAAAAGTACCCAGACATGAGGAAATGTGCCATTGACTGCATTATTTGGCTCTACTTATTTGTGTGAGTCAGCATTTTCTCACATGGAGTGAGAGTCCAAATACCGCTCCACCATGACTGATGACTATTTGGAAGTCTGCTTGAGACTGGCTACCAGCAGCTACTGTCCGGACTATGCAGCCCTGGCTGATTCCATTCAGTGCACGTCATCAGAGTAAACTAATGACCAAAAAAGTACTGAACTGTAGTGTGCCTTAACGTGCATGCAGTTATGCAAGGTGCGCCACCATATTTACATAAGGTATAAATAAATATATGTTTAGTATTTTAACTGTAGGTAGATCATTTTGACTTGGTCATTTGAAAAGTAACTCGCAAGGCGAAAAAGTGTGCGCACCCCTGAATTAGACTATCCACCACCAGCTTAAATCTCACTCTTAGAGTTCAGACTGTAGTGTGTTGGGCGCTATGGGAGTAAAATTGTAGCTAAACTATCTACAAATGTGGGCAGAGAGCTGTGAACCTGTATCTCAGTCTCTGTGTGTACTCAGACTTGTAAATGTGTAAAGAGATCTGTAAATATGCATTCAGATTTGTGAAAGCCTAAAAGGAATCTGCAAATGTGTACTGAGACTTGTAAATGTGTACACAAAGCTGTAAACATGCACTGAAATCTGCAAATGTGTAAACAAAAATGTAAATACAAATATTGGTGCATGTATAAAAGATTCTGCAAATATATTCACTTCCACAAAAAAAGGGCACTGTTCCTTTTACACCTCAGCTAAGCCTCTCAAGTGTCTTTTTACACATGATTTTTGCTCCACTCCTGCCATCTCTGAGATCTGCAAATAGTGATTTGTCTGCATTTCAGGGTTTTATTTACCCTTAGTTCAGGCTGTGTACAGCTTAGCTCAACCTGTACCTCTGTGGTTAGACAGTGTAGTGCTATGAGATTGGCCATAAAAACACTGTCACATTTGTCAAGGGAGAGAAGCCATTTGGAATGCACATCAAAGCAACAGAATTTGTGATGTTTATGATGACATAGTGAGTGTGTGTAACCCTGCTAGGAAGTGTTGTCAGGATCGGCATGTAAAGCTGCCGATAATGTGAAGGGGTGAACTCAATTATAAGGCCAGATGAGGTTTAGCAGAACACTGTCTCTTTAATAAGAGCACTGGTAACAAACACAATGATAACACAAAGCAGGATTCTGTTTCAGGAAGTAATACTCTCAGGTCGATAATACAGTCCAGGATCAGAGCCAGCAAACTTACACAGCCGAGGGATCCACAAACTAGTGATGGCCATCTGACACCGAGGCCTTGATACATGAGCTGAGCCGGGAAAGGGATCTCCCGCAAACCACTGCCTTGAGGCTTGTATCGTTGCTGAAAAGACATGTGACTGATGACATCCGACGCAGAAACGGCTGACCTGAGTGACTCCCGTGACCGGTTCAGACCATCGAAAGGTTGTCACAATGGGAGATCTCACTGCACATGTCAGCAGGTGCGTAGGCGTAGGGGTACTATAAAGCCACCCAAGATGATGCACAATATGTGGGTTTGTCGGTGTAGTAGGTGTGTGCGTAGTTGCTGTGGTATGATCATTGCTGCTGGTGTGTGATCACCATGGGGTCAGCTAGGAATAAAAATGATTGATTCTCCATCCCTTGTATTTATTCACACCCTGTCCTAGTTACATGCGCACATATTACCATCCTAGCACATCCTTTGTTTCCCCAAGCACGCCTACTACACTACATACATTCATAGACTCGACCGACTGACCAATCAATCTTTACAAACATTTTGACATCATTCACACAAAGCCTAGTTACACCCATCACATAATTCAGACATTGTTCTGCTGCATACTATTTCGCCACCAGATGGCACTAAACCGAACCTTTGAATGAATGAACAGATATTCGATACAAATGATGAAGTGGTTCGATACAGGTGTCATGGTGTCAATTGGACATCACTACCACAAACATGAGGTCAGAGAGGGGAGTCCGATAGTCCATACATAGAAAACATGAGCAAAACCAGAAGGGTTAGGCAGTTCTCGGTGGTCACAAGGTAATCTGTGGTCAGAACTAGAATAATAGGTACAGAAAAAATGCTGGAAAGTCTGAACAAGAGTTGGAATGATCTGGCAGCTTCTTTGTGTGGGAAAGCTGCCTATATGCTGTTGTAAGCAGGTGTGAGTAATGAGAAGCAGGTGAAACCAATATGGGTGATGAGATAAAGTTCCCGGGAGTCAGGGTGAGCTGGGGACAGGAAATAGTGTCAAAATAAAAGCATGAGACTGGAAGCAGTGGGACAGAATCATGACAAGTGTGGGGAATTCCACAGAACGTACCCTGAGGCCACTGACTACAGAAGCTACTCTGAGTAACAGACACCAAACACAATAGAGAGATGATAAACACTGACGTCTAGCACAGAGAAACAGATGGAAAGAAATCAGGGTAAACATCTGGGATGAAAAACCATAATTTCATTTCTACTAGTGCTTGGCAACAACTAAAATCCTTAACTGCGTTAACTGCATGATTTTCTGTGATTAATCACAATTAATTGCATTGATATGAGCAGCATTCAATAATGAATTCAAAAGTAGTCTATTGCGCACTTTTATTTTTATGTAATCAAATATAAAACCAAAGCTATTTGGGCATTAACGTTTTATTTAGTTTGTTATAGAGAAACGAGTTACCCTCAGAGTCCAGAGCCACAATCATGACATTATAACAGGTACCAACATTTAAATCTGTTTTCTTTCTCTTTTCTGAACAGATACCAGCAGACACATTTTTCTTTTATCAGGGAGCAGCATAAACAGTCAATGTTCACTAGCAAGTGAGAGTGAGGTGAAGCACAAAAAAAGTACACAGCTGGGATTTACTGTGGAGGGGACTTACTCCTTATTCCTCTGCACCAAGCCAGTTGCTCAGACACACAAGGTCATTTACATTTTCAGATGATAAAGAAACTCTTCTTCTGTACAATATGACCAGCAAGAGAAAACAACCTTTCACAGGGTACGGATGTTGCAGCTGTGGCCAAGTACGTCTGTGCAATGGAGGCCAGCCTGCTGTGTGATCCTGCATGTTTGGACCACCACTCTAACGGACAGACCTCTGTGCTGATGGTGGGCTCTGCTCTGTATCGACGCACACTGTTCTCATCTGAGTCTTCCTCTTGTTCAGAATCAGACTCTGATGAAGCAGCCAATAAGGCTAACTTTTTCTTTGGTGGCTCTGATGTTGTTGCTTTCACAGGTTTCTCTGGAATAACTCTCTGTTCCTTGAGTAAGTTGGTGACTGAGGCCCACACCTCACCCCTCTGAGCTCTGGGTATACACTTGAGGTCCTTGAATCTCGGGTCCAATGTGGTAGCAATCTTCAGATATGCAATGTTGGCATTTTCCTTGCATGTCTCCAGGTCTGTTCTGAATGTAGACTTGAATTTGACCATGTAGGCACTGAGTACTCCATCACCCGTGAGAGATGGCAAAAAGCAGGCAGAACCACAGAGCATGAAACATATTTTTCTCCTCCCAGAAGTTCAGTCACATACCTGTAACAGAAAAAAATCTAACCCATTTCAGTCAAAATATATTGCATTCACTTATATACACACAAAAAATGCCCTCTACATATTCATTCACACACATACAGGAACTCTATTTCTCTCTCGTATGCACTCAGACAGGACAGTGACGTAAAGTATACCTGCAGGGCTCCAGTAGCATTTCCAACCTCTGCAGTTTGTCCATTTCAGCTGTAGTTGGCATGACAATCTTGGTGGTGTGTGTGGTGAGGACATCCCTCAGTGGCTGTTCATTTCTGCAGACACTTTTTATCATGTCCAGAGCTGAATTCCATCTGGTTGGAATGTCTTGTATAAGTGACTCCTTCCTTTGTCCATGTTCAGTTTGTTGTCGTTCTAATTCTGCAGCACTTGCTGGATTGTGTTTAAAGTGGCCCACAACCTTTCTGCATTTGTCCAGGCCATTGTCAAATGCACTGTTCTGCAGAGAAGCTGTGACAGAACAATGGAGACTGTGCGCGACACAGAGGACATGTTCAAAAGGCAGATGTCTCGCAGCAATGATCATGTTTCTTGCACTATCTGTGCTAAGTGTGCTGACTTTATTTGAAACGTTCTACTG